TGCGAGAGATAAATGTGTAAAGTACGATGTGCATTAGAATGAAAGAGATCAATTAGTTGAGCCTAACGGTGGGTTGCTGACAAGTTACATTGGAGCACTTGTACGTTCGCAAATTCCGATTACTTGCGATAATTGGAGAATTCCTTCGTTAAAATCGGCTAAAGATAAAATTTAGAGCGAGATACAGGTATGATATTTGATTATTTTTAATTATGTTGATGATTACATCTTTAAATTAATTATACTAACATGTTATATGTATGTGTATTTGTTTGCAGAGATCTTTTAATATTGATGATAGCAGGAGAAAGTATTGTCTTCAATTGGACGGAAAACGACTGAGGGAATTTAAAGCGTTTTTAACGAACAAGTTCCTTAAAGATTCTGATGGAAACTTTGTCGACTCGGAGCGTCCAACGAAGTACGCTGATCTGATTTCAGATGAAGAATGAGAGACATTTGTTGCCAAGCAAAGAACCAAAGAATTTTTAGTAAGTACAACTTATCATGAACCCGCGTATAACTTAAACTTGTTTTTAGTAAGTACAACTGATCTGATTTCTGATATGACTTAAACTTGTTTTTTCAGGTTGTGAGTGGCGTAAATCGGGAACGGGCATCAAAACCCGCGTATCCATATAAAAAAGGGCGTTTGGAATATGCACGCTTTGAACAAAAAATAGTGAGTATGTATAAATGCTTTAATATGATATAGTTACCAAAAATAGTAAGTATATATAATAGGATATGAATGTTTTATTATCTGTCTTAATGCGTAGTTAGAAGAGGAGAAAAGTGATGCGACATCTCTTCCGGACCATGTTGTGTGGAAGGCTGCCCGTGTGGGAAGAGATGGAGTCGTTCAGGAAGAAGTTCAACAAGTATTTGAACAATGTGTAAGTACAACATTAGTTTTGTCAGTAACTGATCAAAAGTGTATAATATATTTATATATGATTTTATCTATATTTCAGGAGACTCTTTCCCAGAGTATAACTCCAGCTGAGGACGATGATTGCAGGAGCTTACTGAGTCGGGTGTTAAATATCCCTGAGTATTCTGGGCGTGTGAGAGGTAAGGGATTTGGTGTCACTCCATCAAAACTGTATAAGCATCCAAAGAAAAAAATCCTTGCAATAAAGAAGTGATGGATATGTTGGAGGAATTGAAAGCTCAAATTCGTGAATTAGAGAAGGACAAAGAGAGATACATGGCGGAAAGGCGCGGTCCAGAGGGTAAAGATACCAGTGACAAAGATAGTATCAATTGTCCGCAGAAGCTTCCAGAGGTAATTGTATATATTACGTTGAAATTAATTTAGCACAATTTTCTTAATTGACACATTAATCGACATCATTATTTGTTTAGGGAATTTCACCTTGTCGTCTATATTTATCATCACCGACTTATCGCATGGTTGGCAAGGGAAAGGTGCATAACACTGTGGGAGACTTGCTTCACCATAAACCGCTCCCTGCTGGATTTTTGAAAGTATCGGTTGATATTACGTTAGAGGGGGGTGCGTTGTTGCCTATACCAGATGATGTTTCAGACGCAACAGTGGTGGGAGACGCAATAGGAGCGTATGTTGCATGGCCGACAAATCTCATTTTCATAGATGATGAGGTAGGTTGAACACCATTATGAACCTTGTAATATTCAAATGTTTTATGACCCATACATGAAAGTTATTCTTACATTTACATTTTCTTATTTACATGATGATCTTAGACTCCTACAAAATCCAAATCAAAAGATAAGGGAATTATTATACGGGAAACCGATTCAGGTGCATCAAAGAAACAGGTACTACTACAGTTACATGATTATCTTATTATACATTAATTACTGAACGTATATGACTTTTAGGTTCATGATAAACAGTTGCAACAAGTAAGCAAGGGTAAGATGCCTGAAGCTTTCAAGGTGCCCAACAAAAAAAAGGTCGAGCCAAAAAAAGCATCTGTTCCTCGATTTAGGTCGTGCCTTGAAACAGATGTAGGAACAACAGATGTGGCTGAGGGTGGCATCCAACAAATACCTATGGAGGAAGCAATTTTCGGTTTTGAATATGCCGAAACAATTGCTAAGGAGGATCTGGACCAAATTTTCTATCATTCTGAATTGGGCATCGGTGTTATGCATTCCTACATTAGGTACTCCGATCCATTTTAATTAAATAATTGAACATTTTAAAATTTGGTCATTTAACTGAATATTCTAATGTTGATTATGTTTTTCTTTTAGGCTCTTATATGACAAGTTGTTGGTCCCACATTATTAACTTCAATATTCACATTCTTATCTGCTAACTGTATCAACGCACGGTCAATAGAACACACACCAGATGTAGTCAAAGATTACATAGTCCAAAGATTTATGGCCGCGACTACAGAGAAGTTGTTCTTGTTGCCATATAATACTGGTCATGAGTTAGACTTCAAGCTCCAATTCATTCATTATAATTATTCAATTTTTTCCATTCTATATAACATTTCCGTCTAAACTGTTGTCTTATTTTATAGTGGACTCTGGTTGTTGGTCGCGATTAATCCGATGAAAGAAATAGTGTATTATCTGGATTCATTGGATGGCGATCAAACAAAATATCCTGATATGAAAAATATGATTGATACGTAAGTGATGAGATATATTGTTCTGAATAATTATATATCTTTATTTATTATGTGACATTGTTCTAAATATGCGTTTATATTATGTTAGATTTATACAAATATTCAGAGCACAAAGAGAAGAAACAATGCCAAAAAGCAAGGCTAACAACATTAGCTGGATCAGAGTGCAGGTATATTTTCCCATTTTTGACTGTTATAGTGGTCCTACTTGATAAAAATATTTAAACTAAATATCCTGATAAATGTTCGTTTGTTTTTTCCATTTACAGTGTCCTCGCCAGCACAATGAGATTGACTGCGGATATTTTGTATTGCGCTTTATGATGGAAATTATTCATTCTAGTCAAATAGAGATTTCAATCATGGTATATATCAATTCATAAATTATATGATTCGTTTTGATAATTAACCGATATTTCATCTGAGTAATTAGTTTTAAAACTAAATTGTGCATGTTCTGTTATTTTATGTAGTACTTTAATGATTTCAAGTGCGGTACTTACTCGAAAGCAGGTTTGGAAGAAATAAAGGAGGAATGGTGTCAATTTATTCTTGATTTGAGAATTGTATAAGGTATATGTATATGGAAGAAATATTTCTGGAAGTCGTATATATTTGTAAAGTTAACGGATTTGTAATTATATGTAAATTGATTGTATTTGTGATGTTGTAATTCTGAGGATCGGATTGTGTTGTAATATATTTAAGCAGGTTTAATTTATGTCTATTAAAATTATTATGGGCAAAGCGATGAATTACAATGTATACTTTAGTTATTGTGTATATTGCAAAATGATGAATACAGATAAATAAGGCCAAAGTAATTGTTATATATAAGGTCAATGTGTTGAATTAACGGCCTGAATTATAAGCAGGGAATGTAATTGTTATAAGCAGGTTTATCGAGAAATATATAAAAAATGTGATTATTTTAAAAAAAAATTCAAAATCATGAAGAATAGACAACGCTCATACAAAAAAGCGCTGCTAAAGGGGGAAAAGAGAGGACTAAAAAAAGCGTTGCTATAGGTGGGGAAAGGGGGGGGGGTCTAAGAAAGCGCTGCTAAAGGGTGGGTCTAAAAAAGCGCTTTGAAAAACGTTGCTAAAGGGGAGACCTATTAAAGCGCTGCTAAAAAGGGGAGGGGTGGGGGGAATAGGCAGCGCTTCTAAAAGCGCTGCTAAAGGGGGAAAAAAGCGCTGCTAAAAGTGATGGTAAAGGGAGCCTATAGCAGCGCTTTTTCCATAAAAAAAGCGTTGCCTTTACCTTTAGCAGCGCCACTTTAGGCAGCGCTTTTAAGCGCTGCTAAAGGCCTTTTTTTGCATAATAAATTTTACAATAGATTAAATAAAATTGTTTTTTTTTGTGTGAATTATTTTAGGTTCAACCGTTTTTACGAGGAACCAAAATGGTGTTCACTCAAAATTTATATATATATATATATATATATATATATATATATATATATATATATATATATATATATATATATATATATATATATATATATATATATATATATATATATATATATATATATATATATATATATATATATATATATATATATATATATATATATATATATATATATATATATATATATATATATATATATATATATATATATATATATATATATATATATATATATATATATATATATATATATATATATATATATATATATATATATATATATATATATATATATATATATATATATAATTTTACATGTATAATTTTTGTTTTAAAAAATTATTAATTTATAAGTTTCAACAACTTATTTATTTTAATACATTATGAGAAAATACAAAAATAAATAAATATTGTTAGTATTAATTGAACCTTATACCAATAACTATCATTCATCTAGTTCAATTTTACTCCCTTAATTCCTTTCTAAATGTCGCTAATTAGAATTTTTATGTTTATTTTAATTTCGGTTTTTAAAGTTTAAAGTATTATTGACTCTAATTTGTCAAAATTATCTCTATATATTTATTATGGAGAGATTTAAAATTAAATCAAATTAATAAATATTTAAAAATATTATAGATAAAAGAAAAATAATTGTTTAAAAAAAAAGGATATATATATATGAGCTTTCTTCACATACATATAAAAAAATTAAAAAATGACAATTAAAAATAGAGCGTAGAGAATACTTATTTCATTTATCCGTGGTATATTTCAGTTTCACATGTTTCTTTTACTGAAAGGCTATTCATGTCAATTTTAGGATGGATGTACTATATCGTAAACAATCCTAATAAAAAAAATAATTTGTGACACAGATGTGAAAAAAAAAAAAAACTTTATTATTAATTTACCAAGTTAGATGGCTAACCAATGTCCACACTTATTTAAAGCTTGGTACAATCAGTAGGCTTGAATGAAACAATCTGTTTATTGAGATCATAACCTATCAAAAAGTTCATTTGTTGCAAACTTCCAAAGATGCCTGCTCCATAACGAGATCCGCGAAAAGCAAAACATTTGACTCCTTCATAAAATGGAAATGGAGCAAAAGTGTTGTTGGAATATAACTTAACATCTGCACCGCTAAAATGTGCAGTAATTACCGGAAAATTTGGTTGTTTGGATGTTGTATTGTAACATAAATTATATGAACCAGTGTCATCTTGAAATCGTTTAAGTTTGACCACTTTTCTAACCGCTGATTCTAGTCTATTGTAAAAATGTTGTGGAAAAATCGTCACAGTTGTACCTGAATCAATGATGATGTTATGCGTAGAAGCATTTATTCCTTTATGTTTAAATCCTTCATACGTTATCCTCTTGTTTCCCACACTAAATGCTTCTAAATTAAGAAAATAATAGTCTTTATAATTGCCTATAATTTTGACCATAGGAGTTGAAACAACGCTTTCTCCGGACACAATGGCAGCATTGCCAAAATTAAGTTTGCTAGATAAATTTGATTGACTATTATTTTCATCAATTAAACAGTAGGAAAATTTACCACCAATGGAAGATCCTAATTGTTTTATAAGGGACGTACGTCCACTTCCAAATCCAATTACTCCTGAACTCCGACCAATAGATGATATGTGATTAGTGTGTCCACATCCTATCACAATTTTAGGAAATGATACACTAGAGCCGGAAGTAGAATCTAGTGTAAGTGTCTTTTCAATAATATTTCCTTCAGTCTTTTCTCCACGACCATAATCATATGTGTATTCACAAACATTTTTATCATGAGAACAAGATGTATCTTCCGCAGATTTACATGTTTTAGAAGAACATGAAATATTTTCGTAACTTGAAGATTTTGAAGGATTGAATATAGGATATGTTTGGTTGTAACAATAATTACAAGGTTTACATTGAAGCCAAATTAAGTTACTACCTGGATCTATCATGCCATATACCTTAAATGGTGGGGTACCAATTGAATAAATCATGAGATATTCACCGTCTTCATAGGTTAAAGTTGATTCAAATTTGGCTTTAGAAGAATAATTTTTACGGTTGAAGTGAGTAGCACGATTGATAGAACGATGCACGGCATTAAAAATTCTTTGCAATTTAGTTTCAGCAGGATTATAGAGTGGTGACTTAATAGAATCACGATGAATGAGGTCGACGCTAAAACCATTATTTAAAGCATGACAAATAGTTATTGAAAAGAAAAGACAAAAGAAAATAAGGTAAGAAATTAACAAATGGGACATTATTACAGAGATTTGAGTGAAAAATTGTGACCACGGATTGTATCGTTTAATGGCTTTTTATAGGTTGAGAATGTAGATAGACACAAAGATAATAAGAAGAGAAACTAGTACATGTAAAATAGTGAATATTCATTGAATAGTTTATTTTATTTTGGTAAAAATGTTACTACATGTATTTTAGTGGTTTATTCAATGGTTTATTACTATACCAATTTTTATGATTTGATTTGATTCTGTTACCAAATATGGTTAATATATTCCCATTCAATGATATTTGTTCAAAATGTCTATATTTAATTGTTAAGGTTTTACTTTATTAAATAAATAAAATATTTTAATTACAACTGAATAACAAATGTCAAATTTTATTACGGAGACAAATAAATATCTCAAAATTAATTAATTATTCACTATTTCAAAAAAGATCTTTAACAGCGCTTTTTTTGTCCTTTAGCAGCGCTTTAAAGCGCTGCCAAAAGTGGCGCTGCTAAAGATAAAGGCAGCGTTTTTTTATGGAAAAAACGCTGCTAAAGGCTTCCTCCAGCAGCACTTTTAGCAGCGCTTTTATAGCCCTTTAGCAGCACTTTCATAAGCGCTGCATATTTTCCCCAACCATCCCCCCTTTAGCAGCGCTTTCACTAAGCGTTGTCTTAGAGCCCACCTTTAGCAGCGCTTTTACAAGCGCTGCCATAGCCCCCCCTTTAGCAGCGCTTTTTAGAAGCGTTGTCTTAGACCCCCCCCCCCCCCCCTTCCAAACCTATACCAGCGCTTTTGTAGCGCTATGTTTGTGACCTTTAGCAGCGCTTTTTTGTAAAAGCGCTGTCTAATGTTTCAGATTTTAAATTTTTTTTTTTAAAAATATTCACCCTGTTTTGTATATTTACCAACAACCTGCTTATAATTCAGGCCTTTATTTCAACACTTTGGCCTTATATATACAATTCAAAACTTTGGCCTTAAATATACAATTCAAAACTTTGGCCTTATATATACAATTCAAAATTTTGGATACATTGTAACTCATCACTTTGTTCATAAACATTTTAATACACATACACCTGCTTAAATATGTTACAACAAAATTCGATCCTCAGAATTACAACATCACAAATACATTCAATTTACATATAATTACAATTCTTCCAATCCGATAACTTTATACAATTCTCAACCCAAGAATAAATTGACACCATTCCTCTTTAATTTCTTCCAATTTTGCTTTTGTGTAAGTAGCGCACTTGAATTCATCAAAATACTACATAATATAACAGAACATGCAAGATTTAATTTTAAAACTAATTACTCAGATGAAGTATCAGATAATTATCAAAATGAATCATATAACTTATATAATGAATTGATCCATACCATGACTGGAATCTCAAGTTGACCAGAAAGAATAATTTCCTTCATAAAGCGCAATACAAAATATCCACAGTCAATACCATTGTGCTGCCGAGGACACTGTAAATGGAAAAAACAAACGAACATTAATCATGATATATAGTTTAAATAGTTTTATCAAGTAGAACCACTATAAGAGTCAAACATGGGAAAATATACCTCCACTCTGATCCAGTTGATGTTGTTAGCCTTGCTTTTTGGCACCATTGCATCTCTTTGTGCTATGAATATTTGTATAACGCTAACATAATATAAACACATATTTAGAATAATGTCATATAATAAATAAAGATATATAATTAAAGACAACAATATATCTCATCACTTACGTATCAACCATGTTCCTCAGATTTTCATATTTTGTTGTATCGCCATCCAATGAATCTATATAATACACTATTTCTTTCCTCGGATTAATCGCAACCAACAACCAATGTCCATTATAAAATAAGACAACAGTTTAGACGAAAATGTTATATAGAAAGGGAAAAATCGAACAATTATAATAAATGAATTTAGAATAAAATCTAACCCATGACCAGTATTATATGGCAACAAGAACAACTTCTTCGTAGTCGCGCGCATAAATCTCTGCACTGTGTACTCTTTGACTGTATCTGGTGTCTGGTCTATTATCCCTGAGTTGACACAGCTAGCAGATAAGAATGCGAATACTGAAGTCAATTCATTCGGGACCAACAACTTGTCATACAAGAACCTAAAAAAACATAATCAACATTAGAATATTCAGTTAAACGAGCAAATTTTAAAATGTTCAATTATTTGATTAAAATGGATCGAAGTACCTGATGTATGAATGCATAACACCGACACCCAATTCAGAATGGTTGAAAACCTGATCAAAATCCTCCTTAGCAATTGTTTTGGGATATTCAAAACTGAAAATACCGTCCATATGTATTTGACGGATGCCACCCTCAGGCACATCTGATGTTCCCACATATGTTTCAAGGCACATCCTAAATCGAGGAACAAATGCTTTTCTGGGCACCTTGGAAGTTTCAGGCATCTTACCCTTGCTGACTTGTTGCGACTGCTGATCATGAACCTAAAAGTCATATATAAGTTCAATAATTAATGTATAATAAGATAATCATATAACTGTAGTAGTACCTGTTTCTTTGATGCAGCTGAATCGGTATCCCGCACAATAATTCTATCATCTTTTGATTTGGATTTTGTAGGAGTCTAAGATCATCATGTAAATAAGAAAATGTAAATGTAAGAATAACTTTCTTGTATGGATCATAAAACATTTGAGTATTAAAAGGTTCAACCTACCTCATCATCTATGCAAATGAGATTTGTCGGCCATGCCACATACGCTCCTATTGCGTCTCCCACCACTGTTGCGCCTGAAATATCATCTGGTATAGGCAACAACACCCCCCCCCTCTAATGCAATATCAATAGATACTTTCAAAAATCCAGAAGGGAGCGGTTTGTGGTGAAGTAAGTCTCCCAGAAAGTTATGCACCTTTCCCTTTCCAACCATTCGATGAGTAGGTGACGATAAATATAGCCGGCAAAGTGAAATGCCCTAACCAAATAATGATCAGTTAATGTGTCAATTAAGTAAACTGTGCTAAATTAATTTCAATGTAATACATACAATTACCTCTGGAAGCTTCTGCGAACAACCGATACTATCATTGTCACTAGTAGCTTTACCCTCTAGAGCGCGTCTTTCCGACATGTATCTCTCCTTGTCCTTTTGTAATTCACGGATCTGCGCTTTCAATTCCTCCAAAGTATCCATCACTTCTTTATTGGTTGGATTTTTTTTCTTTGGCTGCTTATACAGTTTGGATGGAGTGACACCAAATCCCTTACCCCTCACACGCCCAGAATACTCAGGAATATTCAGCACCTGGCTCAGTAAGCTCCTGCAATCATCATCCTCAGCGGGAGTTATGGTCTGGGATAGAGTCTCCTTAAATATAGATTAAAACATATATAAATATATTATACACTTTTGATCAGTTACTGACAAAGATAACATTGTACTTACACATTGTTCAAAGACTTGTTGAACTTCTTCTTGAACGACTCCATCTCGTCCCACACGGGCAGCCTTCCATACAACATGGTCCGGAAGAGATGTCGCATCACTCTTCTCCTCTTCCAACTACGCATTAAGACGGATAATAAAGCATTATATCCTATTATATATACTTACTATTTTTTGTAAATATATCATATTAAAGCATTTATATGTACTTACTATTTTTTGTTCTAAGCGTGCATATCCCAAACGACCCTTTCTGTATGGATATGCAGGATTTGATGCCCGTTGACGATTTACGCCACTAACAACCTGAAAAAACAAGTTTATCAGAACTCTTGTAATTCAAACATAGTTCATGATAAGTTGTACTTGTATATTTAGTAACGTACCAATAACACTTTCAAATACATTTTTTCCAATATGTATAACATCAAGAAAATGTCTTACATACAACGACTTCCAATACGACAACTCAAACAAAATTGACCTCTTCTTCCACCCACGCGTGACAAGCGTATGAGCAAAAGGCTTGCCAAACTTAGTACTCACATCTTTCACCTTTTCAAAAATTTGTTCTCCGGTCAATGTAGGTGGAGCTTTACATTGTTCTGAATTTCCATTGAATGCTTTTCTCCACCCACGGTAGTGATGACTAGAATTTAAGAATCTACGATGACCAAGAAAGACATTCTTCTGACCAAATTCCAACCGCGTCCAATCTGTGTTTTCTTCACAGATAGGACACGCACATTGACATTTAATGCTATACCCCGATAGATTTCCGTATGCTGGGAAATCATTAATTGTGCCAAACAACATCGCCCTCAAATTGAAACTTTCTTTCCTATATCCATCATAAACCTCCACACCGTTCCCCCACAAACTCTTTAAGTCTTCGATTAGAGGTGTCAGGTATACGTCTATGTCATTCCCTGGTTGTTTAGGGCCAGAAATTAACATAGATAACATCATGTACTTACGCTTCATACATAGCCATGGAGGTAGGTTATAAATCATAATAATTACAGGCCAGGTGGAATGTGAGATACTCTGCAGACCATGCGGATTCATTCCATCAGTCGATAATGCCAAGCGAAGGTTTCTAGCTTCTTCTCCAAAATCAGGATAATCATTATCAATTTTCATCCACTGTGGTGAATCTGCTGGATGTCGATACTTCCCATCTACAATTCTATCATCTGCATGCCAAGTCAGGTGTTTTGCATCTGTTTCACTACGAAACATGCGTCTGAATCTCAGAATTATAGGAAAATACCATAATACTTTTGCTGGTGACAATTTTTCTTATACCGAGATACACCGCATTTAGGACACTCGTTTAATGATGCATATTCATTTCGAAACAAAATGCAATCATTTGGACAAGCATGTATCTTATCATAGCTCATGCTTATAAAGCATAACATTTTTTTAGCTTCATAGGTTCGATTGGGAAGAACATTATCCTCCGGAAGCATCTCTTGAAGTAGGGCTAACAACTCTGTGAAACTTTTATCCGACCATCCATTACCCGCCTTTAAATTGTACAACTTTAATACCGCAGACA